GTGGAACAGATAAACTATGATAGATGAGCTGAGTGTCTGTGATTCTAGGAGCTTGTACTGAGCTGTCCATGGTCCTGACTGAAAAGCTTGATGTAATATAAATGCACACGGTCTGCATGACTCCTGGAGCAGCTCAAACAGCCATATCAGCCCTCATTCACCTGAGCGTCAGTGTTTTCAGGCAGTTTTGAAGCATTTTTTGGCATGTGAATGCGCATTTTGTAAGTCTTTTTCATGTATTTTGAAGCTTCAGGCATTTTTGTTTTGGCCAATGAAAAGCAGTATAATCTGTGACATTATATGTCGTCCTCCTTGTATCTGCTTCCTGCTCTTTCTGTGTGGTGTTGTGGTGCTCCCGGTCCAGGAAAATTCACACCCAATTTATTCCCAGGTCCTCTGCTCTGAGGCGTAGCTAGCTCCTTTTGCGCCCGAGGCAAGAACAAAAAATTGTTCCCCCCCCCCCCAACAGACGTGTGTGGTATGGTGGTATGTGACGTCATGTGCCCCGCCTCCAGGATGGCGGCGCATATGCGCAGAATGCGCTGGTGGCCAAATCCAAAATAGCAGAAAAATTTGATGAAACTAATGAAAACATTTTTCGTTTCCGTTCATTTTGTCCGAAGTAAATTTTTAGTCTTTGCACATGTCTAGTAATATGTGTGCGTGAGTGAGTGTGTGGTGTTGGGGGGTCTAAACAGACCGCTGTCATTTCCCTTTTGAAATAGAAAAAGAGATTGAGGACACAGAGTCCTCTGCAGAAACAGGTGGAGGAGAGCAGCGGGGATCAGGGGAGAAGCTGAAGCCTGTGCAGCTCCTCTTCTCCCTGCGAGCTGCGGCTGTTTTGCCGCCCCTGTTGCCAATGACACCCTGTGCTTGCCATGGCAACACTCCTGAATCCTCCATTTTGTTCACAGGCCTGAGGTTGCTAGGAGAAGGAGAGCGGTTGTTAGGTGCAAAAACACACAAAATATTGCCAAAAAAACAGAGAAACCATTTGTGTCACACATTTCCAGGTGCTCCCATTGAAGTCTAGGAGACCAAAAACATACAATTCTCTCTGGGAAAAAAAAGCTTGTGTACTTTTTCACATGGCAAGTGGCAGCACAACGCTCCAGTTTGAACAGGCACCGTTAAAAATAATAGAAGTCTTCATGTTGAGCGTTGTCATGATTGGGAAATGCAAGACAAATCACTTGGGTGTGAGGGCCCAATCACACCATGTCAGGACCAGATCCGCACCAATGTATTCCTATGGCATTTCTGAGCTTACTTCACACTGTTATGTTCAGTTCCAGTGCGTTCTGAATGTCACATTTTTTCTGGTCTGTAACGCACAAAAACACATGCTTCGCCCATTTGTTGTTTTTTTTTTGCCCGGGACCTGCTACAAGACTCTGGCAGGTGCCGGCCAAAAGCAAACAGGCCAATTGTTTATATTTTTCTAGATCAACTGCTCGGATCAAGGGTCTCGTTGGGAATTTTAGGGGGGGCCCCTTGCCTTTTTTTCACCATTTTGAGGGATGGGTTTCATCCTTAAAATTCCTACCAGACCTTAAGGGCATGGTATGACTTTGGGGGGGAACCCCACACACTTTTTTATTTTATTTTAACTTGGGGTCCCTCCTAAAATTCCTACCAGACCTAAAAGGACTCGTAATACTTTTGGGGGGAACCCCACGCTTTTAAAAAAAAAAAAATTGGGTCCCTCCTAACTTTCCTACCAGACCTAAAGGGTCTGGTATGGTTTGGGAGGGTGACCGCACATTGCTTTTTTTTTCTTTTGCTTTTTTACATTTATTTAAATAATTTGTAAACATTTTTTTTTAATTATTTGTTTACGTTTTCTCTATTGTGCTCGCAACCTTGAAGGTTGCTTGGCGGCATTCGGCTATTCACTCATTGCCGTTCGGCCCCCCATGAGAATAGGGTCGAGCAGCAGCGAGTGAGCTGTCAGAGCTTCAGCTCAGCCGATCCAGATGTTGGATCAGCTGAGTCAAACTCCTTCTGCACTTCAGCTCAGCCGAACATGCTGAGCACGTTCAGCTTACCAAAGACAGCTGTACAGAGCCGATGTACGGCTGATTTCAGCCGAACATAAACCGGAGTGAATAGCTGAACATCATTCGGCTCACTTCACTTTGGCTGCGTTATTCACTCGGCTGCCTTCTAACCCTCCAAGTGAATCTTCCAATGGGGAAACCTATCCTGGTAACCACTGTCTAAGGCAGGGCTATGCAACTTTGGCCCTCCAGCTGTGATGAAACTACAAATCCCACGGTAACTCGGCCACGGGGAGCCCGTGGCTGTCAGAGTCTTGCAATGTCTCATGGGACTTATATTTCCACAACAGCTGGAGGGCCGGAGTTGTCCACCCCAGGTCCAAGGCCTTTTTTTTGGCGGGCACCACCCTTTGAAAAGCGATCCATGGTGCATCAGTTTTCACAGGGTGGTAGAGCAATGGCTGCCTGCTCTTCAGGAGGCGATGCTGCCATTTTTTCCCCCAAGGCCTATGTCCAAAACTAAAATAAAGTTTTGGGTTTACATAAACTTTAACTATTTAGTTATTTTAAGGCAGGTGTTGGCAAACTCTGTCCTTCCAGCTGTGGTGAAACTACAAATCCCATCATGCATCTGCCCCAGGGGTCATGCTTGCGGCTGCGAGAATCTTGCAATGCCTTATGAGATTTGTAGTTCCACAGCAGCTGGAGGGCCAGAACTTGCCCACCCCTAAGGGTAACAGATGGATATAGAAACAGAATAGACAGAAACACCCGGGTTTTACTGCTCCTTTGTACAAGTGCATTAAGCGTTCCCTAAAACACTTACTATAAAGAATTGCCCTTATTTGTTTTCAACTTTGCTTATCCTTAGTTGGGTCTCAGCGCTGCTGGTCACCTGCAGCCTCTTTTCAGCCACTTCTAGTCTACAAGCTCTACCTCACAATGGCTGTGTGGTATTTCTCACGCCAGGTTTCCTAAAGGTGACTGTGCCTGTGTGACAATGCAGAAGCAGAAGTGTGAGGCAGGGACAGAGTGTTGTCACCCCGTAATAGGAGGTGCCTGAACAAGGACCATCATGGCGGGATCACCAGGTATTTTTTTAATGAACGTTTACAAATATTAAGGGCCCAGTCACGCTGGTGCGGTGCGTTCATTGCACCAGTGTATGCATTACTTTTTATAGTTACACTGCACCTCTACACATGGTATTGCAGTACCGCACGTTGTGGTGCGATCGATCACATTGCATGCAGGAGGTGCGCTTAAAGTGCCATTCAAATGAATAGCAACGCAACACACCTCCCGTACATGCGTTTTTGCATGACTTCCCACCTAAGGCCCCATGTACACTACTGCGGGTCGGTCGCATGGATTTTTCTGCACAGAACCGCCTACATGAACAATCCCATACATTCCTATGGGGACCGTTCATGCAAGCGCGTGGCTCCGCAGGATCCGAACCGACTGTCGCCAAAAATACTCCCTGAGTTACTTTTTTGGCGCTGATCAGCGCGTGTTCCATATAGATTTCAATGGAAACGCGCCTATCAGCACGTTTTGGGTCGTTTTTAATTGTTTCAGCGTGGAAACGCAATGAAAAACGCTCCAAAACGCTCTTTCAAAAATTACACGGAAACCGCGCTGGAATGATTGGAATGCTGCCGCCCTGGTGTGAATGGGGCCTAACAATTGTCTCCTCCTCCTAGATACTAGCTTTCCATCTGCCTAAAACAAAAAAGGTCAAGCTTGAAAAATGCGTTTACAAACGTGAAAAAAAAAAAGCCCAGAAAATGATTGCAGACGCTCAAGTGTGAATGAGCGATTGGGTTTGCATATACGTTGTATACAGTGTAACACCAAAGAATATGAAATGTATGATAATAAACCACAACAGCCAATAGGCTGCAATCATTTTTTGACAACTGACACCTGATTGGTCGCTAAAGGACTTCTGCACATCACTGGAGTTTATCAAAACTGAAGTGGACCGACTACGTAGTTGCCCAGAGTAACCAATCAGCTTCTTTTTTTTTCAGTTTTGTCAGCTTTTTTTTTTAAACTTTGAAAGATAGAATCTGATTGGTTGCCATGGGCAACTGCTTCAGATGGTGTCTGCCCCAGTTTTGATCAATTTCCCTCATTGTTCTTCTCCTTCATTATTATAGATCTTCATATGAAAGTGTCCAGATTTTGGCTCCCTAGTATTTCAATGGAGGAGGCAATATTTGGAAGGAGTTCGGCTGCTGCATCTGCTGGAAGTAACATTGTTTATCAACATGCAATCATCTTGTGTGTGTGTGTATTACATCCCAACCTGTGATCAGAGGATTGTTCCGGCCGGGTCCATCATCTCACTCCATGGAGCACTGACAATCTAATATTAGGCGATGCAGTGTATCAATGTGTCTCCAGCCTGCTGACATAGGACGCAGTGCCATCCATGTGCATTGTCATGGGGCTTTTCCTCTCCGCGGAAACGGTTAATAGGTCCAAAATGCTTGTTTTGCTTCTCCCCAGTAACTAGGGAACCCTGATTCCTGCTCTGGTGACACTAGAGGAAGTGACGTGAATGTTATTTATATATCAATTTTTGCTGCAGGAAAGATTGCAGAGCTGCTGCTGTGTGCACAGACCTGGGGCAAGGCTTTTGTTTAGGAGGGGAAGCTTGGTGTGCTGCTTCAGGGTGGAAATGACATGACAGGAGGGGAGGAGGGTAATAAGCCCACCATGATCCCCTCCAGGGAAGCAGGCTGCACGGCCACTTTTTAACCCTTGCTATACCCAAACCTAGAGCAGCCCACTGTCATGCAATGGAACACATCCCTGTGTGTTCTATTCTGGTTCGGAAATCAAAGTGTCCAGATGATAAAGTCATGCTTGTGAGTGTAATGAGGCTGGTATTATGGCAGATCGCTACTTGTAGAAGTTTAATGCATGCTGTGTTTTAGGCAATCATGGATGGAGGACAGTGATCATCATGCTGTACAATAAACATAGCTGTGTGTAGGAGCCAGTAACACCACACACACACACACATGCACACCTTCCCAGGATACACACACTGCTGTGAACTGACTGTAATGTCAAGGGACTTGGTGCTGAAGGAAGGCTCTTGTCACACAGCAGCAGTATAGCAGCATCCTTTTCATCTCTCTCCTGGCATTCACGGTTCACTTCTCCTTTCCTTATAATCACACCAGCATCCCTATTCTGGGGCTACTTCCAGCCACACTGGCTTGCATCAAAGCAGCAATCAGCCTCTGCCTTCCTGGTGAACAGGTTGACAACCTGATCTCATCTTTCCTATTTGTCGGATGATCAGGGCTGACCCGAGCAGCGCTTATTATTTGGGATTGATAAGCAAAGCTCTAATAATAATAAGTCCGGTAATAATAATACTGCTAGAAGCCTGAGACGCATGCGCATGGATGATGAGCAGCCAGCCCTGGGTGAGCAGCCCAGCTTCAACGGATGTGATCAAGGCAAAGATTTGCAGCTTTCTCCCAGCATTGATGGTGAAATTGTAAGTATTCCGGATTGGCCATAGGAAGGCTCAGGACTGTGCCCGCAGAACGTGCCTTCTTTTCCTATAGGCAGGGTGTATAATAGAAGGCTAGGGTGGGTTATGGTGCCAGGCAAACCACTGCTTGCATGAAGCGCCTCTCTACCCATCATTGGCAACGAACGGGATCCATTTTTAGATCCGTGATCCTATACAGGATATAGGATTCCTGCTTTGCCCACTGTACATTGCACAGATTGAATCATGCCAGGGCTATCATTTCATTCTGATTTGCATACTGACCAGCTTGGTGAGGATTCTTTATAAGCTGTTTTTCTGTTGGCTGATATGTGCGTGCTCAGATAGCACTCTGGTGTGTTTTTTACGGGTTGCTGATTTGTTTTTGTGTTAACCTGTGTTGTATATTGCCTGATCTGTTAGCTATGACTGCTGCAATGTAATAATCATCAGGGCTTTGTACAAGCATCCAGAGCAGGCAGCTTGCCTCATCCTCCCAGATGCCTCCATACAAGCTGACATGCCTTACTTGACCAACTATAGACCTGTTTCATACTTGCACTCCTCATCCTTGCCACTGGTTCCTCTATATACCTATAGGTAGGGTATTGCCTTCAAATGCAGGTTAATAGATCTTAATTTGAATCACAGGGTGACTGCAGACAGAAATAGCTTATTTGCAGGACACCTTATACAAGTATTCAACCTGTTGTCCTGCAGTTGATGTTTTACACAGTACTAGCTATTGGCAAAGTAAGGCTTAACACAATGCATGTCTCTTCAGCCAATGGAGAGCTTGTGCCCAAGTAAATATGATGGCACTGAACCCATATGCATGTTGTTTTTTTTACTAATATACTGTATAGTGTATATGTGTTGATAAGAAGCTGGCAGCAATGCCCAATGGCTCATTGACATTGATTGATACTGTGTATTTATAACTTGACTGTGAGTCAGATTTAGACACTGCAGCGTGGCACAGGATTAACCCCCTGTGTTTTGGTAAGGTGAAGGGGGTTTAAAACGCACTGCAGTTGAAGCCTCACTGTGAAGCTGTAGGTTTAAATGAAGAGCTGGATTGCAGTAGTGCAAATACTAAGCTAAGTTAAAAATGTAGTATCATTTTTCTATGAAAAAATACTGATTGATGAATACATTGCGGAACCTACACAAGGTGATGGTGATGGAATGTTCCACAGACTGAAAGTACATATATACATCTTTCTATATATGTGTTCTGCAGTCCATTCATTCTAGATTGTGTAATCTAGGTTCTCTGTAAATGAAGCTTAGATCAAAGAGCAGTTTGATCTCTCTATTGTGTTCATGTGTATCTAGAATGGAGGTCTGTATCGCTGGGCAGCAGCTGATTGCCTTAGTCACTCAATAATCCCAATGGAGACCCCCTGTAACATGTAATAAGAAGGGGCAGAGAGGGAGAAAGCGAGGTCCACTCCTCACTTTTCTATCTATCTATCTATCTATCTATCTATCTATCTATCTATCTATCTATCTAACTTTGTATCTATTTCTGTCTCTGTTTCAGTGACCCATGTGTCCCATTGACTTTTTTTGTTCAGATTTTGAGATGTAATATATCATTTGGCTATCCTGATTTTTGAGTGATGGTTTTTAAAATTAATATAAGCATTGTTTAATTTAATATACGGAAGTCATGATCTCGGGCCCTACATAATAAATACTTGATGGGTCCTTCAAAATTCATTACGAGATTTATAACATATTTGGGGCTAAGCAACTTAAAGGTTGTGATTTTTGTGCCCAAGCAAATTACAATATATGGCAGTTCCTCTAGATAATTATTGATATGTTTATGTTGTAGTAGATGAATAGAACTTTAGAGATGCCATTTTTTGATAGCTTCATGTTATGCAATGCACAGTTCTGTTACAAGCAGTTATATTTTATAAGCGGGTCATACACATGTGGATAAGAAGGCCAGGGGAAAAAAATTATATATATATATAGAGGACCGGCAACTCATACATCTGCGTATCCTGATGCCAGCTAATACACAAATACACAGCACAAAATACTCCAAAATAAATGGATTACAGCATCCAATATACAGTCATATTAACATGTAATAGAGATTTTAAAGTATTTTGTATTTTCCAGTTTCATTATGCTAGGAGTATACAATGTCTTATTTACTATGGCTGATTGGTTGACAAGGCAGATGATCATGGATAATGTAGTAGGGGGGTACTTCTGATGTACTAATAGCAATAAACATAGTTTGGAGAAATGTATGAGCATAACTGGCATGGGACTATGCATATGCAAATTCACAGGTCAGGCTGACATCTCTGTGGTTGTGACAGCCTATTTGCATGTTCTTCCTGGCTCACATTTTTACAGTGTTTCAACAGAACGTTATAGGTGAACCCAATACATAAAATACATAATAAAACAAACATAAATACTGGTTGCTTGTATTTAATTTTAAATAACATATTTATTATCATTTGATCTAAAATAACTATGCTTCAAATAATCATTTTAATAGTACTTCATGTGCTAAAAATATTATATATTTTTTAAAAAAACATTACAACTCTTTTATGCCACTTACTATATGTCAATGTGATCAGAAAACAAAACATTTCATTTATAATATAATTCATATTTTTTTCCTTTCCTATAATTGTAGTGTAATATGATGAAAATATATATTAAGTGGTGCGCTCCACATTTGTATTTACGATGCTCTCTCTGCCTGTATGCATGAATTAACTCCCAGAGAGGCTGGCGGCCAACTAACTTGGACGTATTCCCACACTACAGCCACTGTGTATGTGCCCAGCCGTGCTCGGTACATGCTTCCGAGGCTTGTTTTCTGGCCATAGTGGGCAGGCAGTTGATGGAAAAGTGTTACGTTGTCATGTGTGAATAGGGGAGGACAGTTATAAACCTACGTGCATCTATGCACTATAAAACCTGATGTGCTATTAGAAGTATCAGGCTGAGCAGCTCATATCGAAATCAATAAGGTGTGAAAGGATTTTACAATTTTTATATGTCATCATATAAATTAGGCCTTGTTCACGCCAAGCGCGTTCCAGGAGCAGAGCAGTTACAGAACGGATCAAAACTGCGTCCAATGTATTCCAATGGTATTTTGGGCTCTAGTTCACACCGCAGCGTTCACTTCCAGAGCATGTAAAAGAACTGCAGCAAGTCCTATTTTACCTGCTCTGGAACGCATGCAAACGCATCAAAAACGCATGCAAACGCCCTGGAACGCACTGAAAGACCAGTTTAAACTAAAAAAAAAATATTTTATTTTTAATAACCAAAAACGGCCCGGAGCGCATCAAAAACGCGGCACAACCCACTGTACAGCGTATGCAGAAACTCATGCAGGTCTGGTCTGCATTTGGTGTGAACAAGCCCTCAGTGTTCAGTTTCAAAGTGCTGCAAATTGAAACCTTTTTCTGTTTATCCAAACTGGTTTCATCATGTTGCTATTTGTTATGAAAAGTAACCATTCTAAAATATTATTTATTAAAATATTTGTTACTTATTCACACCCATCCCAGTCGTATCCACTAAGCACAGCTGTGGACATGAAGTCTAGAAGTCTACAGAAGCATTTCAGTCCTAGTGCTGCTGCCTAATCTTGTTAAGCACTCCCAAGTAATCGGAAGACAGGGCAGTCCATTTACTAAAGGAGTAGAGGATATTCACTGACTGTTCACTTTGCAAAGTAAATGTTAGTAAATAAGGGGACCCATGCTCACTTTGAAAAGTTAATCATGTGCGAGGAACATACAAAGCAGGGTTTTCGGTGGCACATGTCTGGTTGATAGAAGTATGGATAGCTTTATGATATTTAATACGTTCAGTGAACATTCATAGCAGTGAAAATAAATTCATGTTATTTACTGAGCTCAGGAAACATTCATAGGAGCGAGAATAGCCTCATGGTATTCACCAAGCTCAGTGAAGATTCTTAGAAGTTAGAATAGCGTTATGATATTAACTAAACTCAGTGAACATTCATAGACGTGAGAATAGTTTCATGTTATTTACTAAGCTCAGTGAAAATTCATAGGAGGGAGAATAGATTCATGGTATTTACTAAGCTCAGTGAACATTGATGGAAGTTATAATAGTTTCATGTTATTTACTAAGCTCAGAGAACATTGATAGATGGGAGAATAGCTTCATATTATTTACTAAGCTCAGGTAACATTCATAGGAGGGAGACTAGCTTCATGTTATTTACTAAGCTCAGTGAACATTCACAGGAGCGAGAATAGCTTCATGTTATTTACTAAGCTCAGTGAATATTCATAAGAGTGAGAATAGCTTCATGTTATTTACTAAGCTCAGTGAACATTTATAAAAGAGAGAATAGCTTCATGCTATTTACTAAGCTCAGTGAACATTTATAAGAGAGAGAATAGCTTCATGTTATTTACTAAGCTCAGTGAACATTTATAAGAGAGAGAATAGCTTCATGTTATTTACTAAGCTCAGTGAACATTCATAGGAGGGAGAAGAGCTTCATGTTATTTACTAAGCTCAGTGAACATTTACAGGAGTGAGAATAGCTTCATGTTATTTACTAAGCTCAGTGAACAGTCACAGAAGCGAGAATAGCTTCATGTTATTTACTAAGCTCAGTAAACATTCATAGGAGGGAGAAGAGCTTCATGTTATTTACTAAGCTCAGTGAACAGTCACAGAAGCGAGAATAGCTTTGTGTTATTTACTAAGCTCAGTGAACAGTCACAGAAGTGAGAATAGCTTCATGTTATTTACTAAGCTCAGTGAAAATTCATAAGAGTGAGAATAGCTTCATGTTATTTATTAAGCTCAGGTAACATTCACAGGAGTGAGAATAGCATCATGTTATTTACTAAGCTCAGTAAACAGTCACAGGAGTGAGAATAGCTTCATGTTATTTACTAAGTGAACAGTCTCTATACCTTTAGTAAATCTGCCTCTATTTGTAGTATCTCTCATTAGCTGCA